AATGGGTTTTTATTGCTGGGGGATCTTGTTCAAATTTGGGAAAAGACTAATATACTAAAAGATGAGGAACGGTGACCTAATCTTACAATGGGAGGAGGATTGTTAGTCAATGTTTTTCAAGCTAATGCTTAGTTTCATTAACGTCTGTTGGTTTGAAAAACTAGACAGACACCTGGGATCTGAGATTTTTTTTTGAAAGAAAACTTAAGTTTTTGCTGAAGCTGTGATCTCAGCAGTTTGTATTGGTGTGCTAGCTGAAGTACAAACAAAGGTAATAGTTCCATTTCTACTGTAAAAATAACAAAATAAAACCCTATACATATTCAAAAGCTAATCTGAAAAAAAAACCCACTCAGCCTTTTAGAATTTCTGAATTTGCAAAATCTGCGTACTCTTTTGCATAATACCTTTAACTCCTAGGTATGAATAAGAGAGGTCAGATGTTTATTTCCCATTGTTGTCATGATACACCTGTTAGGGTCAGCAGTATACAGTTCTCTCTGTGCCAGAGAGAACTTTTTAATTGCCTAATAAAACTAGATTAGCTAAGAGAAATTACTGCAATTCAATATCTATTACATAGGTTTTCATAGTAGATAACACCTCTATTTACAAAGGCAATGCTCTAATCATATAGCCAAGTTCAGTATTTAAAAGCCAATGGACACAAAAAACATGATAAAAGATTTAACATATCCAATATTAAGTAGCTGAATTTGTATTCAAAGTCTATCAAGCTTACCTTTTAACCAACTTAAACAATAGCAAGTGACAAAGACTAGAAAATCACCCACTCAGCAGCAAATCCAGTGTAGATCCTCCTGGCCTTCTCCTTTGGAAGCTTTACAGAGGACATTGATAGCCATTTGTAAGGATTGACAGTGATAGCAAGGGAAAAAAAACCAAAACACATAATTGATTGTAATCTGACAATTTTCAGGGAGGAGAGGTGTTTCCCATGGAGACATGGCAGCAGCTGCCCTGCTTGGGTATGTGTCACAGAGATGTCTGGCAGTTCAGTTAGTCTCAGAATGAAAGAGCAAGGTGGCAGATGAAGATCAAACCAGTGGTGATTGGAGTTAATTCCCTTTATCTCTTATGTGGATATACCCAACTCCAAAAATAAAAGGAAATGAACTACAAAAAAGGTTTGATTTGTGTTGAAGGATTAAGAGATTTTTTGGCCAGAGGACTGGATTATTCAGGAGTTCTTTAAATAATGGGCAAAACCAGTCTGCAAAGTCCTTACCTAACCATGTAGTTGTTACAGGAGAAAGTCAGGATACCAACTGCACCTACAGAAACTACTGACACTGACCAGCCTCACTCAGGGCATGCACACACTGCTCATGAACCCGGGGTCTCCATTTCACCTCAGCCCTAGACCCTCAGATATCTTGCCATATGCTCAGCTCCAGACTAGTCTGGCCCTGTGATCTGGATAGACCTCAAACCTACACACTAGCTAGTTTTTATCCTGGACTGGTCTCTCAGATGTCCATTGCCCACTGTCTTTAGCCCTGTCTCCCAAATGGACTTCAGAATCAAGATGAAACTTTGTCTGATCTCATCTGCTTTTGCTCCTGACTGGACACCCTGAATGAACTTGGTTCATCTCTTCCTGGGATTGCCAATGGATCCTACAACCAGCACCTGGCTTACGCTGCTACTAGACCCTGTGGGACCACACCCTAGAGTCAACCTTTACTCCTGGAACACCAGGTCTGAGGGAACAGCAGGACCTTGGTGATTCCTGGAAGAGGAAACAGAGAAAACACACTAACATCTAGTACCATAAAAAGCGTCAGACACTTGCCTTCTTCAGCCATTTGCTCACACAAGAAATGCCATCCAGAGGGACCTGGAAAGGCTTGAGAGGTGAGCCTGACTTGGGGATGTTGGTGGACAAGAAGCTGGGTTGTTTGTTATGTAATGACAGCCATAGTACTTTTCAAATCTTACTCAAAGCAAAGAATAATGTTACAGATTAAACACTTACTGGAGAGAAAAAAACTGTCATAAAGATGTTTCAAATTAAAAGGTAGCAAACTTTACAGTATACACCCATAAGCAGGAACAACCATGGAGATGGTAAACAGCTAAAAACTTCCTTTCTGTTGAGGGATTTTTACAGAACAAATCTTGCATCAGGACAGAAATCAGCATACGTAGAAGTTAAGTCTGTACTGATACCTGCATGATCTGTTTCACTTGTTGTAATAGCTTTAACGTTATTAGTGCTTTTCATTACTTTAAGGAGTAGTGGATAGAGGAAGAAAGGATTATAATACAACTGCTTTTGAATAGTAAGCTGTTATATTTATTCCACTAACAGTTTACATGGGTTCAGTGCTCAGCTGAATAAATTTGGGAAAAAAGCGCATTACGGACTCCTGAAAGCAGAAATCCCAGGATGATAACTAATGGTAGAAGTATTGCAGATTGGTATCAGTACATCTTTTTGGCCTAGTCTTATGTTCCTCCTTAGGTAGCTGTAGCTGGCCAGTGTCAGAAATAGGTTATTATTATACATAACACTGTAATCTGACCCAGTCTCTATGTTCTATGATACAGTGGTCCAGCAGCATATCAGCTGGCGTAGACTTTCAGCTGTGGGTTATGGAAGAGAATTGAAGTGAATCTTAAAAGAATATAACACACTTTTCTTATTTTGGTTATTCATGATTTAAGAAGAGTGCAGAATGATATTTGTAACATCACCCATAAACTTTGTAGTATTAGAACTGCAATAGAATTTTTAACTAAATCACAACTGGAGTCAAGTCATTCATATACAGTGATAAAAAGAGTACATATACCATGTCACTTTAATTTAAAAGGTATAGGGCACTTCTCTTAAGAGTCTTGTGCTTTATATAATAAACCTGACATCCCTAGCAGCTACGTAGCAACTTGCATGGTCAGCTCATCAGGCCAAGACATATGCATCTCTGAGCTTTGCAAAAATTGCTGTGATAATAGCAAGACACTGTTTTGCAATCCTGTCCTCTCTTCCAGGAAACCTCCTTCTTTCTGCTGATGTACATGCCGAAATGAAAGCAACTGTTTTTGTTGGCCATTACTTTCAAGTGATAGGTTTTTGAAGCTACAAGATTAGGTAGGTTTTATTGTTTTGACATCAAAGCACTGTTCACAGTTGATATCAGTGTTTCATTTTCTATTGCATCTCTTGTTCAAGATTGCCATTTGCTTGTTAAGGCCATTAATACAGTTTTCAGGAGGTGGTAAAGAACTAACTAACTGATCAAGAACATAAGCCAGGCTTGTATCCTTACCACAGTGATTGCACATACTCCATGCTAAGGTGAAGTCTGTGCTGAGTTTCTGAATAAGAAGGTATTAACAAACCACTCCAGATGTGGTGCTTTCCAGATGAAGTGGGCATCCCTTGACACTACTGCATGGTTCACTGGCTCATCTCTCCAGTCTTCCTGCTCCAAAGCATAGTTTTCAAGTTGAACTAAAACTGGGGTTACTTCTGGAAGAGGAAGAATTGTGGATAGACAATACATGATTTGGGATGCTTAGGATGCTTCTGTCTTCCCTCCAGAATTCAATTCCTATAGCACTACAGGCAACTATAAAACTCTGACCTCTCATTAAAGAAACAATTCTTTCAAAGTTACCATTTCAAGTGAGCTGACTGTAATGGCTTATCTTGTGTGAAATATCATGCCAATATTAGCTGCCAGAGAAAAGGGATAAATTTTGATGAACGCTTATTACTTGGACACATTCTGCAAGAATATTTGGACAAAACCTGCAAATTGTTTCAAACAGCTTTGAAACAGCTTTGAAACTTTTAAAAGAAATTTATTTTGGTAAAAATTCATAACAAGAATTTATTTGTTAATATTGTGGGTTTAATGTATTTTCTAATATTTCTATTTAACTCGTTATATTATCTCAAGTTAAGAGTCACAGCAAAGTTTTAATTCCCTTCATGTTACTATCATATTTGTAAAGAAGCAATATATACATTTAGAGGAGAAAAACAAAACAATTATATTTTAATAGCAATCTGCTAAAGTTGGTATTGGATTTATATCACAAAGCCTTGCAACAAACAGCTTTGCAGTTTGAAGTGAGCTTCATCTCAGCTTAGTGTATTAATTTGGGGCTCTCTCATTCTGAAACAAGGGACTTAAGTCATTACTCTAAATACACACTGGTATAAATTGTGAGTGCCATTTCCTGCATAATGGAGTAGTTAGGATAACTCAGATTATATCAGAGGAGTAATTCCATGTTTACTACAGGAGTAGAGAGCTTGCATGAGTTAGTGATCTTTGGTGCAAAGTAAATTTAGTTTTAGGTTTGGAAGTAGTGAGCAGTTATCTCCCTGAATTCAGAAGACGGATGGCACACCTGTGATACAATTAGGATGAAACCAACATATGTCTCGGGAATATTTTTTTCTTCCATTCTTATTCTATTAAAACGTTGATGCAAATACATGTCCTCAATGTGGCTACACTTGGTTCTGTTTATAAACAAAGATACAACTTTGCAACTATGCTGATATCCTCAGAGACACAGAACTGAAAGAGGGGGGAAAGCAGGTACCAGTTACCTCTCCGCTCCCTAAGACTAACATCACGACAAGTACTAAAGTTCACAGACACGCACACACCGACACCCAGCAGTAGCAGTTGTGGACAGTGACGTGTTGCTTCTCAAGCTCGCCACTCGAAAGCAAGTACACGCTCTGCTGCGGAAACACAGAAACCTTTTTCTCCTGTTCGAGCAAGCCTCTTACGGACGGCAACCCTCTTTCCTGGGAAAATGTCCCGCGGGGCGTGCGCAGGGAGCCGCGGGCACAGCCGGCTCAGGGACGCTCGGCGGCGGTCCCGGTGCGGTGGGGGGTCAGGGCCGGCGGGGCGGGCGGGCAGGTGGCGGTGGGGCGGGGCGACCGCGGCACCGCCCCTGGGCCCCATTGGCGCCGGCGGCGGGGACGCTCCGCACCGCCCCCCGCACACAAGTGCAGTGCCCGGCGGCGGCGGGGGCTGCGCGGCGGGGCCATGCAGAGCTGCGGGCGCTTCTGGGGGCGGCTGGCGGCCCACGGGGCGCCGAGGCACCTGCGGGGGGCGGCGGCGGCGGGGCAGCGGCGCTGGGGCGGCGGCGAGGCGGCGCGGTGCATCGAGCAGCTCCTGCCGCGGCACGATGACTTCTCCCGGAGGCACATCGGGCCGCGGGAGCCGGAGAAGCGGGAGATGCTGCGGACCGTCGGGGTGCAGGTAGGCGCCGTGCGGGGCGGAGGGCGGCGCGGCCGAAGCCCTGCTGCTCGGGCTGTGCCGGGCTAACCACGGCGTGCTCTTTGCAGAGCGTCGAAGAGCTGATGGACAAAACCATCCCGGCCAGCATCCGCCTCCGGAGGCCGCTGAGGATGGATGACCACGTCTGTAAGTGACCGCATGGCCCGGGGTGCTCCCGGAGCCCCCCCGCACTCCCGCGGCCCCTTCCGGCCGCCAGAGGCCGAGGGTGGGGGCTTGGGGTGAACACCCCTTTCCCCCCCCGGTCTCCCTGCTGAGATGTGTAGTGAGCACATCTTCCCGCTGAAATGAATAAGACTTTTTTGGTCTTTGCCGACCAACTCGGTAGAGTAATTCGGCAGCTGCATGTATTGCTCTCCTGTTGGAAATCAGTACGAAAATGCGTGTAGCAGACAGGGATTGCCCAAAAGCCCGTTTTGGAGCTCAAGTGCTACAGGGACTTCACTTTGTCCCAAGAGCCTGACACCGAGGGAAGGGTGTGACTAATGTCCCCTTAGTGTGGACTGTAGCTTCAAATGGTCCACTGTTTTTTGTAAGTTCTTATGTATCTGCAGGATCTGTTATTCTTCCCTCGCCAGCAATAACCTGCATATTTTAATAACACTAAAAACCCATGTCTCCGTATGATGGATACACAGTAGACTAATGGCCAGCATTTTGAGTCCATCTGATTGAGGGTTATGAGTAAACTGGAGGAATACAAAACATTTGATCCAGCTATTCTGGCACTACAATAATTTAGTAAATTGCTGTAGAGAACTTGATGTGATTTGATGAGCTTTTAGATATTAACGTTTTTAAAAGTTAGCATGCACAGTACAAAATTTCTACCTCATAACTGCAATCTTGAGATATACCTGTGAACATCATGCTGGTAAACCCGTAAGTGAAAGAAATGCTTAAAAATCCCCCTTGCTAAACAATTCCACTAAAACTGACAAAGCTCAGTGGCCATTCAAAAAGGGGAATCAATTACTTCAGTATTAACTTCATTTTTGTGTGAAGATCCTTTGTCTGATTTGTAGAAAACTTGATCCCTTTCTCTGGCATTTTCTCATTGCTCATCTGTGTGCTGTAATTCGAGTGTAAACTTAAGGCCTGCAGCTCTGGTGAGGTTCCCGGCCAGTTCAATCTGGTTACTCCGAGATGACATCACAAGCGAGAGGCAGTGCCACAATGAACAGCCAGGAATACTAGACCCTGAAAAGACAGATTCTAGCCAGGAGGGGTTCAATAGGGACTGAAAGTTTCTACTTCTAAAATGCTTTATTGGTAAAGTGGAATTTTATTTTTTCATAACTTCCCATCTTATTAAAATGGGGAGAGGCTGGGTAGAGAAGTGGAATTTAATCACCTTCTTCTGGCTTTATAGCTGCTGAAAGTATTGCTTGACATATTTTCCTATGATTAATGTATTCTAAGGTACTTCATGATTGACAAGTGATTTTCGCTGATCCTCAAAGAAAAGAACTGTCTAGTTTATTATGTTTTTAGGTCTGCAGGAGAGATTAAATGCAGCTAGTGGCTAATAATTATGTCTTAAAAAGCTTTTTTCTCGTTAAAAATTTTTTTATTATTAATTAATGTGATACTCTTATGAAATTGTACATTACCAAAATAAACATAAGAAGGATACAGTAGAGTTGGGCATTAAAATAGTTATACGTTATGGAAAACTAAACCGGTGATGTCAACCTAAGTCAAAAACTTGATGCAGTGCTCTAATGCTGATTTGCATAACAGTTTTGAAGTGGATGTCTTCTACATATCTGTGCATTAGTTGCTATTCTGTTGTATGCAAGTTCTCACTGTGCAACAGGACCTCATTAACTAACAGTGTATTTAGTTCACTGGCATTTTGCTCCACTTGCTATGCTGTTCTTGTCCCCTTAGAGTAAGCTTTGAAAGAATGTGACTGTGATGCAGTCTCACATTGCACAGCATGCAACAGAGAGTTTTCAAAAGAGATGCTTGCATGAGGTACAGAAAACTTTTTTCAGCACACTGCTGCTTTTTTCTTCTGCAGCCAATGTGCTGAACTGTCTTTTGTAATTATTGTGTTATTGTTTATCACTGGTTTTCTACTGCATTGGTGGCAGAAAACTCCACAGCTTGCAAAAGAAAAGTTGAAAGCCTCAGCTTAAAGTTGTGCAATGTCACATTGAACATCTTGTGCCCAGGACATCATAGTCTGAGTGAAACTTGCTTCCTCATTAATCTATCATTAGAGAGAACACTGTCCACTCATCAGGGTGGGATTTCTTGTGTGAGTATGGTGCATCATTATTTCTCTATCATATCCCTTGTATTAGAGGGAAATAGCAAAATTGGGAAAGTGTCAAAAAAGCTGTATTCTATTTTAAACATCTTTTTATCTGTATGAAGACAATTTTGCTCCCACTGTCCCCCAAACTCACACATAAAATGAAAGAACAGGACAAGACAATGCAAAACATGTCACTCAGTGACTTTCAGCATTTATAAAATTTGTAATACAGTAATTCCTAGTGGTGTAAATGTACATTTCCACTGGTCTGTATAACTTGAATTAAGAAAATAGTGACTTCACTAGGTAGAGTGCAGCTGAACAAATCAGCTCTGCTAGAGCTGCTCCTTTGTACTAACAAACACAGCTAAGCTTACAAGCTTACACTGAAGTCTCATTGAAGTCAATGCTTGACACTGAAGTCAATGCTTACAGATAGAACTAGACATGCAGTCCAAGAAAACCATGCACACACCATGAAAAGTACATCTAGGTGAGTATCATAGGTCTCTGCAATTTTGAGGGTTTTTGGCAAATTTTATAGTTTTAGACCTCTTCTCAAGAGTGTATATTTGATGTGTAAGTTTGATATATATGCATATCTTCAAATTTTGATCAGATCTGTCTATAGGAAAGATTGTATTACAGATCCTTCCATTGGTAATGTAACATAACAAGTTGTCTAAAAGATTGAAAATCAGTCGACTGGGTGTATGGAATAGCAGTAAAAAAAAGAAAAAAGAGGCTCCTGTGGATGCAGCTTGTATGAAAGAGCTGTTTTAAATGGCATTGCATATTCCACTGATGATAAATAAAACCTCTGAACACAGGAGAAGCACAATCGTTTTGTACCTATGTTGTCTTTCCGAAACATTTTAGCACAGACCTATCTTCAGTGGAACAATCAAGCTTCATTACTTCCCTGAAGGACATAATATGCCAAGAGAGAAAGCCTCTAACCTTAACTGGACATTTCCTCAGGGTACAAAGGCTCTGCAGTGAGAGCTGAACAGGCTGGATCAATGGGCCGAGGCCAATGGTGTGAGGTTCAGTAAGGCCAAGTGCTGGGTCCTGGCCTTGGGTCACAACAACCCCAGACAGTGCTACAGGCTGGAGGCAGAGTGGCTGGAAAGCTGCCTGGAGGAAAAAGACCTGGGGGTGCTGCTCAACAGTGGCTGAACATGATCCAGCAGAGTGCCCAGGTGGCCAAAAAGGCCAATGGCATCCTGGCCTGTATCAGCAATAGTGTGGTCAGCAGGATCAGGGAAGGGATCATCCTGCTGTACTAGGCATTGGTGAGGCTGCACCTCGAATCCTGTGTCCAGTTCTGGACTCCTCATTCCAAAAAGGACATTGAAGTGCTGGAGTGTGTCCAGAGAAACAACAAAGTCTTAGAAGATGCAGCTGAGGGAGCTGGGGTTGTGTATCCTGGAGAAAAGGAGGCTTGAGGTACTCTCTACAAGTACCTGAAAGGAGATTGTAGGCCAGGTGGGGATCAGTTTATTTTCCTAGGCAAATAGTGACACAATGAGAGGAAGTGGCCTCAGGTTGTACTAGGGGAGGTTCAAATTGGACATCAGGAAGAAATTTTTCACTGGAAGTGTTGTTAAGCATTGGATCAGGCTGCCCAGGGAGGTGGTGGAGTCATCATCCCTGGAATTGTTCAAGAAACAACTGGACATGACACTTAGTGCTATGGTCTAGTTGACAATGTGGTGATCTGTCAAAAGTTGGACTTGATGATCTTGGAGGTCTTTTCTAACGTAAATGATTATGTGATTTGTTTTGCTTATGTATGAAAGAAGTAGCCATTCTGGTAAATGCTGAGCTTTGCTGGTAGAAGTGCATCTACACTAGAAATTCTTTTGCAATAATTATTAGTGTTCCTGTATTGGCAGATTTTTTTCCCTGTGTTGGCATGGTCAGTGATGAAGGAGAGAAAGAATGTTTGTTGTGGTAAGAGGTTTCTGAAATGGAATGCTTTGTTCAGTATGTAATATGACAGAACCATCTATGTCCATTTTCTGACCAGAAAAGAGCCGTTTTAAAAATGTCTGCTGCCATGAGCCCACTGACAGTATTGTAAAATCACCTGAACATGCCACTGAAAGCCAGTAGAGGTGAAACAGCACAATATCTGATTTCCACTAATAGTAAATTGCGGTCTTGTACCTCAGCTTGATTCTGGAAGAGGAGCTTTTTTACAGTTAGATTTTTCTGCAGGTATAGTTGAGGAAAAATGTAATTTTGGCATGTAACTTCTGTTCAATCAATATTTACAACAAGGGTAGGTGTCTGTTGGATACTTAATTGTGATCAGCTGATATTACAGAGCTTTTTTCCCACTGTTACAGTAAGTAAGCTTTTCTTTAAGCTTTAGCACATATGTAGTGATTGACCGATTTGAAGTAAAAGAATAGATTATCTTATATAAGTGTAATCCTCTTTATTTTATCCCTACAAACCTACCGTCTGTATCAGTCGTAGTTATCCCTACAATGTTGCCATTGTGTGTCCATCTTTATGTTATGGGTAGGCTTGCTTTGTGCATGTGTTATGTATTTCTGCTTTTTAATTCAGGATTTGAATTTTTAAAAAGTTTTAATTAAAAAATGCATCTACAAACTCTGCCACCATTTTCTTTTCCCAAATATTCCCAGTTACATTCTCAAATTTTAGAATTTATAAACATAAGTTTCTAAAATCTGTGTAAAAATGCAATTTGGTCTTCAGTTTAAGTGTTATTAGAAGCAATATGGCTCAGAAGCAGTCATTTTGTAATGAGATTATTTGTATCTTCAAATTTAACTACTCTTTATGTAGTTGAATCTACTTTAACTAGGATTTTAGATTTAAAATGACAATTAAAAATTAATTATAGGTGAGTTTATAATC